TTAACTGGCAGTTAAAAGGAAGAAGCAGCTGCAAGCTCACATTACTCCAAGAAGCACAAAGCCGAAGACACAAGCCTGAAGATGACGAATGAGATTTCGTCAAAACGTCACCAAAATACTTCCAATTTTACGCGGGAGAAAACCCGAACAACCCTATTGCTGTACCAGAATGGTTTTTTCTTCATCCTGATTGGTTGAGAGTCTTGGTCTGTGTTTATTGGTCTTGGAGTTTGCTGTGTTCTGCTTCTAATATCTTCTGTCTGTTTTTTTGGCTCTTTTTGTATCTTGATTGGCTGGCAACATTGTGTTACTTTATTGGAGGCCTTTAGTGCAGCTTGGCTTCGGGTAAATGGACGGCTATCATTAGTTAGGAAGCTGGGTTTCATCTGGGTGCCTGGTTGGGGTGTGTTTGAGCTGGAGGTATCAGGGGGGATCTGTTTGTGCCCAGGTGTTTGCCTGGCTTGTGTGGAGATTTTTTTGTTTGTGAGTGCAGGCTTCCAAATGATTGACAGCCTGGTGGAATCATCTCTTCAGTTCATGCTTTCTGGTCTTTTTTCAATCTCTATGGCTTCTCTGATGATTCTGTGGCTGGGATTCTCTATAGTGGCTAGGGTTTTGGTGCCATTGAAGTTGATTCTGTGCCATATATATATGGCATTCAGCTTTGTTCGGGTATTTTCCCACGTCATTGTAGTTGTGCTTTTAAAGTTGTAGCAACGTTTCGGCAGAATCTCATCTGCCATCATGAGGCTTCTGTATAGTGTTCATCTGTGAGTCAGACTTTTACAGACTTTTACATACATTATATATATATATATATGTATATGTATATGTATATGATGTATATGTAATGTATATGTATATGATGTATATGTAATGTATATGTATATGCATATGCATATGCATATGCATATTTGTTTTCTTAACCATATATGTATATACATATGGTTCTTTGTAACAAAATCTATGTTCCCTTGTAGAATTCCGGAATTGAGAAAGCATTTCTCTTTGATGTAGTAAGTAAAATTTATATTGCTACTGATAGTACCCCTGTGGACATGCAAACTTACGAGCTCAGCTGTGATATGATAGATGTTGTCATTGACATCTCCTCCATCTATGGGTAAGTTGAAGTGTTTTTGCTATCATTTATGCTTGTTTGCAGTTAATGTACTGTATAATTGTCAAATGCCAATGCATATGTAATGAAAAAACTAACATTTGCAAATACAGTGATATGCAATTTGGTCTTTGTCAAAGTTGGGGAAAATAGTGTAAGTTATCTTGAAAATACCAATGAGAATCAAGCAGTCATATTGTGTTTTTAAGTACATGTACATATAGACATAGAAACGTATAAGGATCAGGGTGATCCTTGCTATGAACTTTGAAGTGTGCTGCCTGGAGTGGGAAGAAATGGAAAAAAATTAATAAGAGGATACGAGAATAAGGCTAGGTTTATTTCCCAATAATTCATCCTCAAAATGGAAAAATAGTTTTAGACGTGATGAGAATCTGGTAATGAAGGGAGAGGGGATTGCTTTTTTTTTTTTAAGGAGAGACTTTTTAAATGGGGGGTAGATATGATATTTGATTTTTTTAGATAGAGGTTATATATACAGTCTCATGCTTTATTTGGTTATACAAGAGAAATTGGGGAACAATATTGTGGTAAGTCATGTTTTCAGAAAACCTCTTTATAGTTAATAGATTATTTGATGTTGAAAAGGAATTTCTAAAAATATATATAAATAAATTTGTAGTTATACATTGGTAGCAGAGAGAAGGTATTTCTGCTTTTTGTTATTACTTTGTTATTTCCCAGAATAAGTATAAGAAATTGATTTTGGAGTCTAAATAGGTATATAGTTTGATGTTATTATCAAAATCTTCATAGTCAATGGAGGCCCAAGTGTTTCTTTGGCCAAGAGGATCTGTAAGTACATCTAAATCAGCTACTATACTCCTGTTAACCTCACATTTATTTTGCAGTAGGGCATTCTGTTTGTGGCTTCCTTTACACATAGTTCAGCAGTTGCAATGGAGCAGTAAGAGTAGAATATCTAACAAAGCAATGTGACTGATTCTTAATTAGCTATTCAGCCAAATTTAGTATTTTGTTTGGTTTTTTTTTAAAATACAAGTCTAAATGATTTTTAACAAAGGAAGACCTTCTCTCTTTATACCACTATAGATTTTGATGATTACTATAATTATCCAAGAAAACTGCATATTCAGATTGTGGTTTGTCTGCAATAAAATCTAAAAAATTGTTCCCTGTAGTATTTGAAAGCTTTCTTAAAGCTTTCAGGCAGCTATTGAACTGCCATCTCTTCATCCAACACATTTTTGTTTGAATGTTTCTTTGTTCTTCCCCCAACTTTTAAAATGTGTTTCATATATGTTATACGTTTTAATTATATTCAATCTGTTAATCATAAATGAAATAGATTAAATGAGAACTATTCCCATTTTATATACTGTATATTTATTATTGTAGATTAATTTTAATGTTTTCTTACACTTTTGTATTCTGTATATTTTCAATTCTTAGTATTAAGATTTCTTGTGGATTTTAAAAAATTAACATTACAGCATTATGTCAGTAATGCTTTTATGTATCATGTTAGATTTCATTGTTATATTTAATATGAACTCTTTTAATTTACTGTGGTTATCTTCACCAATATTATCACATCTGTTTTATAATTCAGTAGATTATATTTGGATATGCTCTAAGCACATAATATGTAATTTATATTTAAATAATACTATAAGAAGAATACAGCTTCTAGACCATAACAAATTAATTCTGTATTTTCCTAACACTCTTCTTTCACAATCCTTTGCTATTAAGGCTCAAAAAAGATGGTGCCGGAACACCTTATGATAAAGAATCGACAGCAATTATAAAATTGAACAATGCCACAGTCCTTTACCTAAAAGAAGTGACAAAGTTCCTTGCACTAGTCTGCTTTGTCAGAGAAGAAAGCTTTGAGAGAAAAGGTATTCAACATTTTTGCCTAAACCTATTACAATCTTGTTTTCCTTTGTAAGAAAATGTTCCCCTGTCTTGATCCTACAGTCAAACACAATGTTTCTCAACCTTTGCAACTTTAATATATATGGACTTCCAACTCCCAGAACTCCCCAGCTAGCATGATTCCAGCCAGCATCCTATAAAAATCAAAATACCAAAAAATGTGTATGTTTAGTAAATGAAAGCATTGAGATATTGTTGGAAATGGGTTGAAGAATGGAATGAATTTCAGCATTCTATGTTAGAATCGGTGGAATTCAAATTTTTTTATTACCGTTCAATGGGTGTGGCTTGTGGTCATGTGACTGGGTGTGTGTGCCTTAGTGGTCATGTGACTGGGTGGGTGTGCTTGGTCATGTGACTGGGTGGGCATGGCTCGGTCATGTGACTGGGTGGGCGTGGCCAACTCAATGACACTCACATCAAGGGGTGCCTCACCTGGCCCCTCCCTTCCCAGCCATTCCTTGTCACCCAGCCTCAACTTATCTATAGTTCTGTAAAAATGTTGTTCACCTATTTTGACTTTATTATCTGCATACTATAGATTTACTTTCATGGACCACTGAAAGGAGAAAATGGCTCACATGCTTTACTCAAGAGTGTGATAGGCAATAGGCTTTTAAGGGGCTGCCACAAAGAAAGGGGGACAATGTATTTTCCAATGAAGCAGAATGCAAACAAGGAGCAATGGATGGAAACTGAACAGAGAGAAGCAACCTAAAACTATGGAGAAACTTCCTGTGAGTGAGAACAATTAACCAGTGGAACTGCCTGTCTCCAGAAGTTCTGGGTGCTCAATCACTGGAAGTTTTTCAGAAAAGACTGGACAGCCATTCCTCTGAAATGGTATCGGGTTCACCCCAAGGTCCCTTCTAAGTATTATTCTGACATCTTTCCCAGGATTTCTACTCAAGAGTTTAGCATCCTCAGTTTTCTTGCCTGGGCTGGGGGTTGGACTAGAAGACCTCCAAGGTCCCTTTCAGCTCTTGTTAAACATATGTGTATTTTATGCTCTGGACTATTGACATTGAATGCATGTAAACCCTGAAAAATATGTGGTAGCCCTGGGCAAAAGAAAGGCAGAAAAATCACTCTAGGTGTTGGGACAGTGTAAAATATTAACACATGATAAATAATGGAACAATTAAAAATAATAGCACAGAGTTTTATCTCTTTCTCTTCCTATTTTTTTCTTTCTTTCTCTACCTTCCTCTTCCTCTTCCTCTCCTCTCCTCCTTCTTCTCTCTCTCTCTCTCTCTCTCTCTCTCACACACACACACACACACACACACACACAGAGCACTTAACAGACAAGCATTTTGGAAGCAGCTCCTTTAAATTTCTCCAAGGCTTGAGTGGATTCCCCCACCCCCTCTGTCAGACCGTACTCCTTCTCACTCCAGCACTTTAACTCACAAGGGGAAAGCGATACTTGCAGTGTCCATGCCTTTCTTCCTTTTCCCCAGGGAGAAAGAGGATGTGGGGAACAGAAAGCTAGGAGAGCGATCGCAAGTGAGCAACCGGGCGACTGGGTTGGGGGCGTGGCCAGCCAGGGATTGCCACCGGTTCGGCGACCCATGCCAAATAACCGCTACCGGTTCGCCCGAATAGGTGTGAACCGGTTGAATAGCACCTCTGGTTAGAATGACTAGATTGTGGCAGTGTATTTTTTTTGTAGCTAAAAGGAGAAAAACAGTGTAGTGAGCTTCTAATTATGTAGATTCGTAAACAGAGGTAAGGCAAATGATGTAAATTTAGATTGAATGAACATTTCCTATGAAAAAATTTCTTAAATGTTTTACTATATGCAGTCACTGCAAAACAGCTAAATTGTTAAACCTAACTACATATTAAAGATTTCCAAATCAAAAATGTTCTAAATGAAATCAGGTGATATCCTTTCTTTTATTTTATTTTATTTCCTTCTTCCCATCACTGATGTGTCCTATATGTCAGCATAATAGTTAATAAAATGTGTCTTTGGAAAGCTGTTGGGATATATAAACATACTTAAGCAATCTGTGGAGAGAGTGGCAGTGTGGTTCAGTTTAAGGTTTAAGGTGTTAGCTGGGATAGGAGAAAACCAATTTTAGGTCCACTCACAGCAGTGGTGGGATTCAAAACTTCCCAACACCGGTTCTGTGGGAATGTCTTGGTGGGCGTGGCTGCAGGGGTGGGATCGCACATGCACATGCGCACCAAATGCACACTTTGTGCACACGTTAAAACAGTAAAAACTAAGTTACTGCGCCTCTCAGCTGTTTAGCACAGCAATCACTGTGCTATGCCAAACAGCTGAGAGGTTAAAAAGGACCTAGGAGCAGGGGCGGGTGGGCCCAATTGCAGAATGTCAGAGAGACTCATAGTGAACCTGTTTTCTGCCAGCTGATCTTCGGTGCTACTGGTACATCAGAATTGGACCAAAACGGTAAAATACTACCACTGACTCACAGTCATGGAAACTAATTGGTGACTTTGGGCCACCTACACATTTTCAGCCCAGCGTACTTACTGTTATGGGTAAAATTGGAAAACAATGCAACATCCATTGCTTTGAGCTTGTGAAGGATTTGTGAGATAGAAATTAATAAGTAAACAAGTTTACTCCTTTTTATTGGCCAGTGAACAGAAAATTACATTAATCACACATATTTTAGAACAGGGAATCGTAATACATGTTTCAGCAAACTCTTATACTTACAAGAAGTTTCAAAATTGCACAGGAATCTGTTCTTTCAAGAAAAAAATACCACTGGATATGTCCAAAGTACGTTTTGGGATCCTGTCAAAAGGTTTCTTTTTCTTTCTTTCTTTCTTTGTTGTTAGTTTCCTCCAAAGCTTCTGGAAAATAGTTTCTCAATTAAAAATTCCTTTTCTTTCTCTACATGTGTCATACATACTTTAAATCATGGGCCCAGGATATATATTTTTTCTTTTGATAAACAATAGTACTGGCTGGTGATTAAAACCCATTTAAATAACACTAAATTAGATCTAATGGGTAAGTTTGTTGTGAACTTTCAAGTTTTAAGGGTTTTTTAATCTGGCAACCTGAATAGAGAAAAAAGGAGGGAGAATGCTGGTTGCAGTATGGAAAAACCATTTTGTTTTTCATGTTTTACTTTGAGGAAATTATAAATATTGTAAATAATGATGACTTTGGGCAAGAGCTCAAAGGAGCAAAAACAAAACAAAAACAATAGAATAATAATATAATAAACAAAAATAGTTGCTCCATTCTCCAAGCGAAAAAGCACACCTGAACAAAACCATTTCCAGACCTTTAGGAAATGCAAGGAGGGAAAGAGCCAGACATATATTTGTGATGAGAGTATTGCAGAGTTTGAGGACTAGCATTGAAAAAGCTGCTGTGTGGCTCTACAATCCATGAAACTTTGGAGGAGGTGAGACACTCAGCACGTCTCCTCTTGGTTTTCAGACGGACAAACGGATTCACATATGTTTTCTTTTTCCTTAGGACTAATAGACTACAATTTCCACTGCTTCCGCAAGGCCATACATGAAGTGTTTGAAGTGAGAATGAAAGCAGTCAAAACTCAAAAGAATCAGAACCAAGTACAGAAGAATAAAAGGGTCACACATAATGGCACACCTAGAATGCCACTGTAATTGAACTCTTAATGCCCACTGGTAGCCCCTAAGGCCTATTATTTGCTGCAATGTAATGTAAAAGATTTGAGAACCAGCAGACAAATGGGACTGGTGTACTCTTCAATTGGAATTTTCCACACTCGTCACTCCTCAAAACACTGTAAATCATATTCTGTGTTCATGTTAAGGACAGACCTATTTTGCACTTTTGTCTGATTTCATGATGAAAATGGACTTTTGATAAACAAAATGTTACTTTTTATGTATAGTCTTGAGTAGAATATATGTCATAGTATGCCTAAATGCTGCACACAAATGAACAATCAAGAAAACGTGGTAAGATGACTTTAACGTCTGTGAATATCTATTTTCCACCTTGTAAGCTGGAAATTAAAATAGCAATAAAAATATTTGTTAGGTGTCCTTACTGGTACACTAAAAAATTTGTTTAAAAAATTCTTTGAAATTGAGTATCTCCCCAATCATTCCATAAATTCTGGAAAAAAAATCCTCTTTATTCTTTATACTATTGTCTCTACATAAAAGTACCTTTCGATAAACAGACTTATTTTGAAATGGATGCATGCTGTGTCTGGTTTGTTTATTTTTACATTTGAGAATGACAGTGGAAAAAAGTACCCTCATTTAATAAAAATGAAAATTTTAATAATTTTGTGCAGAAAGGGCACAAGTACATAATGACTCCAAAAGAGTAATGTCCAGTCCCTTTTAAATCTGAGGTTGAGTGACATTGTTTACTCCTGAGAGTTATATACTATAAGGTGTATACTAACAGGCAGGAGTTCTAGATTCTAGAGGGATCCTGCCTTTAATTGCAAGATTGGTGTGCTAGAAAACTCGAGTAATTTGCAGAAATACTAATCGGTAATGGAAAGATTAGCAAGTTGACTTTTTCTTGGAACATTTCTGCGAATTTCAGAAGCTGCAGTATTCCAGAGAGGATGTTTCATATAAAACATTCTTGGCTGGAACACTAAAACCATTTTCAGTTTGGATGATTTGTTCCTGGAAACTAGCTATTCACTCCTTGAATGGCATAGTTCAAAGAGACACTGAATATTTTGAATTGATTGATTTTGCATATGCTTGCTAGAATTCTGGTAAATAGTAGTATAACGTTATAAGGATCTGAAGACATACTTGTTTTGAGTTTTAAAAAGTGCCTAATCTCATAGGATTCTCTCTAGTTTTGCTTATCTTTATAAATATATTCTATACAACGGCTATTTTGTCTGTTTGAAAGGTATATCTATTTCTTCTGGTTTTCTTCACACCAGATACATGATTGGACAATTAAGGCTAGCTTGTTCTTTCCAGTTAATTTTTTTCTTGTTCTGTCCAGTTAAAAATGAAAAAGAAGCTTAAAGGAAACCATCCTTCTGGAGCCAGAGCTTTTAACAAGCAAGCGATTATTTATTCAGCAATTATGCCACTTTCTCTCTTGCTTTCTAGTTTTTCCAAAGAGTGGATTTAAGAATATAGTATTTGAAATGCCCATGATTATGAATTGAGATGTACATGTAATATTCAATTTTACAATATTTTTTTTCATTATTGGTATGTTACAAAGTGACCCACTAGAGACTGCTAATATACAGTAGTAAAAAAGTATCTTAACAGTATAATTTCAGGGAAAGAAACACAGATCATTAGTTATTCAAGTCTCATGTTTTGTAAAAAAAAAAAAAAAAACCAACCTAATAATCTACTTTTAAAATTCTGATTTGAATGATTAACCCATTTGAACCATATAAAGGTATTTTTCCTCCTTTGGTAGTATGTAAGTCAGAAGTGATATTCAGCAAGTTCTGACCAGTTCTGGAGAACTGGTAGCAGAAATTTTGAGTAGTTTGGAGAACCAGCAAATATCACCTCTGACTGGCCCCGCTCCCATCTCTTCTCTGCCTCCGGAGTCCCAGCTGATTGGCTGGGTCTTCTTTTGTTGCCCTGCACAGGAGAACAGAGCTGGAAAGCAGGTTGGTGGGGTGGGGAGGGAATGGGATTTTGCAATAACCTTCCCCTGCCACATCCACTAAGCCACGCCCACAGAACAGGTAGTAAAAAATTTTGAATCCCACCACTGATGTACATATGCATATGTATGTGTATTAGTGTACAGACAAACTCATATTCATACAAAAATAAGAGCTACAAATTGCCTAAGAATTGTAACATTATCTGTGTTGAACAAAGCGAGTATCTCTAGATCTGCTCATCTGAAGTAAATCATCTCAATTCAATGACAAGCCTAACTCATGGATATGTATCTGAAGGTCAGTACTATACAGCAGTGGTCCCCAACCTTTTTTGTACCAGGGACCAGTTTCAAGCACAAACACTTTCTCAAGGACCGGGGGGGGGGGGG